TATTTCATAGTGTCTAGAATAGAAAATGTATTGAGTTCAATTCATATAAAAGTAAAAAAGTTCGATTTACAGATTAGACACAGCATCACTTCCTTTTCTTTTTTCTTTTGGTTTTTTAGTAGGAGTTTTAATACTTCAAATTTTGTGGTTTGAAAAGATTACATAAATATAAAAATTAAACAATTCAAACAAATATGCCACATGCTACCTTAATATTAAAAAGAAAACATCCTTATTAATTTGATACATTTAACATTTCTGTTACACAAAAGAATTACAGTTTCTGTGTTGATGAACAAAAAACCAATGAATAATTGAAGATGTGATAACGCATGTACCAGAGTAGAAGCGTTGACGAAATGAAGAGCTCCAGTAGTGAGAAACTGGATTTCAGAATTCCATAGCTGGTCCTCTTATGGAGCTTACAACGAAATAGTATCACAACCAGATGTCGCCACTAACAAGTAAAGACATTCCTATCCTAAGGCAGACGGAAGTAGAAACAAAGCAAAGCAAAATTCTATAATATAAAAGATCTCAATGATCATAAATACAAGTGCCAAAAAATATGTTCACAGATGTCGAATCAAACACAGTTAAAGTAGACAACCACTGAGCTGATTCAGGATCACATCAATAAACTTGTTTTCGTACAGCCAAAAGAAAATTCAACTGTAATTCTTAAAAACAAAATCAATGAGCTGAAACTTTTTAAAATCAAGTGTGCACAATCATATCTTTTTTTGCTGCAGACTTAAGTTTGCGACCTGTTTCTACATGCCTCGCTCAGCATACTTTTAGAGTCAGCAATTATGATAAAAGTATCAGCTAAAGCTAGATGTCCCAAATGCGGATTAGGGTCTGAGAAATGGATGAAGAGAAAGCCTCAAACTTTGCCACAGACAAGTTGGGAATAACAAAAAGTGTCACTTTCCCAAATGTAGAACTTTGAGTTAGAGCTCAATTCTCCAGTTATGATTTCTACAACCTGTAGAAAGATCGAGAAAACAGGACAACTATCCGCTCCGCATGATCGTGAATTCTAAAGAGATTTTTACTTACCGTCTTCGGTGTTCTTCTTGAGAAAGATAATCTTACGCTTCCACAGGTCCAGAGGATACTCTGAAGCATACCACACAACTGTTTAGCAAGATCAACACCATACAAACAGTTCCCTACAGCAAATTAACAAAAAGCGTAACCGCAGTTGTAAATACCGCTCAATAGACTATAGAAAATACGAGGTTCGCATATATTAACTTCAACCAAAGGCTTGACAGCAAATAAAACGCATTCGTCCATTCCAAAGTAGTATTTGTCAGAGTAGAAGCGTCGGCGTAATGAAGAGCACCAGTAGTGAGAAACTGGATATCAGAATTCAAGCTTGTTACTAGCAACAGAATGTCAATGCCTTGCCATCAAATCCCTTTTAGTGAACATTTCAAAAGACACATACCACATTTCTACCTGGAGGTTCACTTACCCATGGCTGGAGAAAGAAAGGAAATTGCTTCTTCCCTTCAGGTGTTGAAGAAAAATAATCATGACGAGATGTGAGCACTAGATCAAATCTATCGAGATGCGACCTTGGATGTTGCACCTAAGAAAACAGCGGAGAAATAACAAAATTTGGTAATGTAACCACCACCAACAAAAAAGAAGGAAAAAAAAAAACAGTTAAAGACAACAAGAAAACAGAGACTATGAGGCCATATTTGGCAATTTCATATATCATTCACAGGGAAAAATCTGCTAAAACCATCGTGGAAAACAACAAAGCCATAACAAAATGTTATTTTTCAAGGAAGAGCGTGGACTTAACCTGACCAATGAAGACATTTTCCATAGCTAGTTGTCTTATGGAGCTTACAACGAAACAAAGAAACTCAGAATTCTATAATAAAAAAGAACTCAATGATCCATAGATATGAGTGCCAAAAATGTGTTCAGAAATGTTGAATCAAACGCAGTTAAAGAAGACAACCACTGAGCTGATTCACGATCACATCAATAAACTTGTTTTTGTACAGCCAAAAGAAGATTCAAGTGTAATTCTGAAGAACAAAACCAATGAGCTGGAAATTTGACAAGACAGAAGTATACTTGTCAAACGTACTACGAGCCATCGTAGCAATCTGCTTCGCATCAGCTACCCTCAAACACATCCGTGATTCCTACAGCTATTTTCAGGAAACAAATTACTGCCAAAAATCTCTGGTAAGGTAAGGTGTTAGTTTCACTCAAATTGAATGATCAAACAACTTGGAAACAATTTTATGTTTTATACCAGTAACGTTAATGTAGAATCCGGCACAGGTACTTATGATAAAATGACGAATTCTTTTGTAAATAGAAATAGGAAGCCATTGAAGACAACTATTGATTCCACCTCTTGGCCTAGAGACACTTTGAACAGTGATAAACAAACTCGAAAACATTAAAAATGGATACAGTTAGACTTCGGTTCACCTATAGAAGAACACCAAAACGAATTGTGTTTTGGACGGAACTTACATAATAGAGGTGGCGATCGAAGAGGCCTAAGGATCGAACAAGACTGATGCACTGATTCTCCGCGCCGGCGCAGCCGTTCCCGATCGCAATAAATCGTTTCACCGCGCCGTAGATACACCCCTTTGAAATTATCCGATAAACCGGTGAGTGCCAGTTCCGGTGGCTATGTTCGTTTCATCAGTGTTGAAAAGTAGAAGGCGAAGGTTCAGTGACGGTATTCAGAGATTCTTCTCTGGTTAAAGAAAATAGACCGAAACAAAAACTAACCAGCTATACCGAACCGAAGTTAAAAAAAAAAAAACAAACCCCAAATAGAAAGGGAAATGAAAGACAAACTTAAAAAAGTGTGTTAAATGGTAAATAACCCTTAAATCAATAATTTATTCTTTGTTAAAAAAAAGTTGGGTGGTTTTAGATTACACCCACTGGCCTAGGCGTGGGCGTTCAGATATTCGGGTCGGGTTCGGGTCGGGTCGGGTCGGGTTTTTCGGGTTCGGGTTTTTCGGGTATAGAAAATTAAGACCCGTTCGGATATTTTAAAACTTCGGGTTCGGGTCGGGTTCGGATCGGATATTTTGGGTTCGGATTCGGGTTTATCCGAAGTATCTAAATATTAAAAGTTTTGTATTCGATTCTTTGCAAAGTATTGAAAAATACTCAAAAATCTATAAAACTCAAGTATTATTTAACCGAATCTAGCCAAAAGTAACTAAAACACCCAAAAATTCTTAACATCCAAATAATTTAGGCACTTAAGTTTTTACAAGTATAAATATTACTAATGTATTATAACTATGTACTTATATTTCGGGTATGTTCGGGTACTTGTTCGGGTTAGGATTCGGGTCGGGTTCGGGTTCGGATTTTCGGGTTGTAAAGTTTAGAACCCGTTAGGGTATTTTAAAACTTCGGGTTCGGATTCGGATCGGGTTTTTCGGGTCGGGGTCGGTTCGGTTATTCGGATTCGGGTAATATGCCCAGGCCTACACTGGCCACTCGTTCCTTCCGATGGAGTACTATCCTCTCCACAAAAATTAATAACAGAGTAAACTTACAGTTAAAAAAAAAAAAAAAAAGACTAAGGACCTGATTGGTTACGGCTGTAGCTCTAGATTTTTTGCTGTAGATTTTAGACTGTAGATTTTCTTGCTGTAGCTGTAGAATTGTAGCTGTGAGTTTTAAAATAAAAGTATGATTGGTAAATATTAGTTGTATGTTGTAACTTTATGTATTTATTATGTAAACTTAAATTTTTGGAAATAAATAAATATTAGAAATATATTATAACCAAAAAAAAAAGCGAGAAAGCAGAAGAAGGAAAGAACCGTAGAGAGAAGAAAGATAAAATATCCCAAAGCTCATTTTTGTGTGCTGTATAAAATTTGATTTACAAAGCCCATATATTTTCTTTTTTTATTTTGTGTGCTGTAGTTTTTTTTTTGAAGTAAAAGAATGATTGATTTGCTATTTGGCTTTAGAAAGAAAAGTTGGCTTTCTACATCATCTAAAGCTCCTTCCATAGGGCCTGATTGGCAAGTGCTTTAGACTCTTTACAAAGCAAAAAAATTTTTAAAGATTTGAAATACATCCAATCAAGCTTTAGAAGCTTTGGCTTTTCTTTTTTTTCTCACAGCCAAAATATTTTTTTAATTCATTTTTTTGGCTGTAGAAAGCATTTTTTCCTAGAACACATAATTTTCAACTTTCCAAAATTTTAAATTCTACAGCCAAAATACTACAGCAATAAAATCTACAGCCACAACAAATAAACCTACAGTCATATTTCTACATCAAAAAATGTAAAGCTACAGTTGTTACCAATATTGGCAAGTGCTTTAGAGTCTTTACAAAGCAAAAAAATTTCTAAAGATTTGAAATACATTCAATCAAGCTTTAGAAGCTTTGGCTTTCCTTTTTTTTCTCACAGCCAAAATATTTCTTTAATTCATTTTTTTTGCTGTAAAAAGCATTTTTTCCTAAAGCACATAATTTTCAACTTTCCAAAATTTTAAATTCTACAGCCAAAATAGTACATCATTAAAATCTACAGCCATAGCAAATAAACCTACAGTCATATTTCTACATCAAAAAATGTAAAACTACAGTTGTTACCAATCAGGTCCTAAATCTATGTGATATAGGACTGCTGTGTTGTCTGGTGTTAGTGGAATATAAATTTGGGCAGTTTGAAACGGTTGCAAGTAAGAAAGAATTTGGGAGATTCTCTCTCTCGATCAAATTCAAAAGACGATTATTTATTGCATAGTAACTTTTTTAATGGTGGCCCAATGAACAAGTCCGACAATAATGGAGGGACTGATCGGATATACTTTGAAGTATATGTTGGGCTTCTGGCCCAAAGTTAACTAGTCTTCGAATGATGTTATTGCGCTATATAAGACGGGTAGGGTACGGAACACACGATTTACTTTTGAGTTCTCTGGAACAGCTTTGGTCTCTCTCTTCAGGTTTTTTTTGTTCTCTCCCTCTCTCTCTCATCAATTACTATAAATCCAGCCTGTTTAGTGGTTTGATTGTGTAGATTCTTCGTTTTAAACTTGATGTACGCATATTATCATCCGATTTAGGGATTGACTATTTATGTACATGTTTTCCTTTACGTAAGAAGTGTTACAGTTAGCGATCCAGATCCAGATCCAGTCATGGCGGGTGCAGTAGCAAGATTTGTGAAAGCGTATGGTAAAGATGATATTTGGTATCGATTATCGTTGATAGTAATACCAGTCTCAGCTGTCCTGATAGTAATAGGGGAAAATAAGCTTGCTCGTATCAGAGAGGAGAAGAAGCTTTTGGAGGCGAGGTTTGATCAACTGAGGGCTAGAGGAATAATCAGAGAGCAGTAATCGGGGTGTTTTGGCTTTGTTTTTTTTTTTTTTCTCCTTCTCTATGGGTTTAATTAATATTTATTTCTCCATACATGTTTCCATGAAATCAACCAACTCTACGTTATAAATGATTTATTCTTGTCTCTCTGTAAGACTCGAGATAATTCGCTATTGATAGAACTTCTATGATTCAACAGTCTTTTTATTGCTTAACTATTTTTCCAACTATTCTCTACCAAAAGTAGAATAAACATACAAAACTCTATCCAGAAGTGTGTCACCCTTGTGCCTTGATATAATCGAATTCCTTTTTTAAAAAGTCTTTTCCTTTAAAGATGCTGCTTTTGTAACTCGAGTCAATGTCACCACCTCCCTGAGTGAACCATATGAGGTTGGTAGTCTTCCACACATGTTTAACCAAGCCAAACGCATTCTGCAATTCTTTGTTTCTCATATTGTAAGCACTCTTTGAGACTGATGCCAACACTTTGTAACCAGTGCTTGAGATTGGTGTATGCTATGGTCAGTCTAGCAAACTCAAGTGTCAGTACCTAGAATCCTAACTGCATCAAAGGAATAATCATTCTTATTTTTTCTAGGTCAGAGCACGCGGCTTTTATTTGTTCCTTTCCAGATGATGGGCTTGATACATGAGACTGGAAACCTACACTATCTACACAGCCTGAGAAATTAAGTGATGGGCTTGATACATGTGACTGGAAACCTACACTATCTACAGCCTGAGAAATTAAGTGCTGTAACTGTAAGTATCTATTATAGTACATCGGATTGTCAACGGAGTTCTTAGCCTGAAACTGTATACAAATAGTTGAAGAAAGAGTGAAGTGTGTTTTCACAACTAATTCGTAGAATACAAACCTTTTCAAATGAGCTTGACACTCTCTCAAACCCGCTTCTGTTACTGCCAAACCTGCACCACACAACATCCAATTGCACACTCCATTACTAGGGATGCCAAAAACGCAAAGTTAAGACATCGAAAGAAAACAAAGACTATGAGGCCACATTTGGCATTTGCATATATCAGTCACATGGAAAGATCTTTTGTGTTTGTTTTTTTTGCTGCAGACTTAAGTTTGCGAGCTGTTTTTGCGATATTATTACATTCTAAGCAGCACTTAGAAGAAAAGGCACAGAAAATCATATATTCAACATGAAATTTGGCTTTCCCAAATGAATCCAGACATATATGCCTAAGTCAAGACTCTTATCAGTTGGTGGTGTACCATCTCCTTAGGTATTAGAGACTTTTTTTTTTATTAGCACTTGGCAAAAAAAAGTTGAAATTTTTTATTCCAACTAATCAATAGATCAAATATATCCAAATGGGTAAAACCAAAGAACTAACAAAATCCAATCGTTAATAGACTAATAGCTCAAACGATGAGCTAAGTATATGACCCTGAGTTCGACTAGAGAACTAAACTTCCTAGGAGGATAATTCCCAGTCCGAAAATAATAACTGTATAGTCTATAATAGGGAAAAGAGAGTACTCTGGAAAACTTGTGGAGGGAAAGAACGGTCATGCCTCGATTTCCCAGCCACGCTTGGCCAAATCTCACTGCTTGCAGCTGAGTAATTGCCATTGGCATAGCTGAAATAAACTATTAAGAAATCGTCACTCTCCATAAACGTCACAGTGAAACGGGTGTTTTACAGAACATACTAATCTGAAGAGAGTCAAAAGAAATGACATACATAGAAGGGACTTGCACAGACCAAAACCAATCACTGGCTTCAGGGAGATAGTTTATCCCGCACCTTGGCATGATAAAGCAGCCGCAACATAGGATTATAATTAGAACGGTTTCAGCAACATAGTCTTTTCCACACCACAGAAGGAATTAGTAACTAACAGAACAAAAGACATACCCTTGTGCCTCGATATACAGAGATCTTTTAAAAGCCAGTCTTTGCAGCAGCAGGAGACTACTTCCACCAATGAAGTGCCTGAATAACGATGGTGATGACGTGGCAATCCAAGAGTCAAAAACAGAGAGTCAAACTAATAATTGAAACGAGTATATAAATTCATAAACTCACTTCTTCTTCTTCTTTCTCTCGCTCTCTCATTCATTCTGTTTTGATTTCAATCTCTCGAATCTTCTGTTTCGATCTCTTGAATCTTCTTCTTTCTCTCTCTCTCTCAAAATTTCTCTTCTCACAATGTCGTTGCCCCGAAACTTCGTCGCCAAAGTTATGGGAGGCGCCATGGCTGCGTTCACAACGAAGCTCTTCGTAGGAGTTTTCGTTGAGAACCAAGAGATGAAGGATAAGCATGAGCTACTCCACGAGCTCGAGGAAGCAGGAGCCTTCTTCGTCGTGCCTCCTACCTTCTTCGCTAAACCGCGACCACCGGTAAACCTCTTCCTCCGATTTTCTTTTTTTTTTCTTCTGATCGATGATGAATTGATGATCATGCTTGGTTTAAGTTTCTTGCTCGTTCAACCATCAATTGCTTGAATTCGCCATGGATATGCATCAGTAGCATCTGCTTCGATTTCGCTTTTAGATTCGGAATTTTCGATTAGGTTTTTCAATTGATGATCATGCTTGGTTTAAGTTTCTTGCTCGTTCAACCATCAATTGCTTGAATTCGCCATCAATTGCTTGAATTCGCCATAAATTGTATGAGCTTAATCGGATCTAGTAATCTCCTATTAATTGTATGGGCCTAATCAAACTGTAATTGTATAGGCCTAATCGAATCTAGTGATCTACTATTAATGTACCTTTTTTTTTTTTTTTTTTTTTAACGATTGTTATTTTTATTTTATTTGAATGAAAATTTGGTAAATTCGGATTTAAAGATTATAATTTATTTTTTTAATAAACTTATTTGTATTTTTCGGATATGTTTTACCCGCTAAAAATAAATAAATAAAAAAAATCTAATATTTGTGTTTTTTGTTTTGTTTTTAATTTTTTAAAAGTTTCGCTCGTGGTTTCGTGGCGCTCGGGAGCCTTCACCGTACTCGAGTCGTTCGTCTCTTTGGTCGACTCGCACGTCTTCTCTTTCCGACCTCGTTTCGCCTCCCGTTTTCTCACCCGCCTCTGCTCCTGCGCCTGCACCACCTCTCGTTCTCGCACCCACCCCTGCTTCTACACCCACCTCTGCCTCTGCACCCGCCTCTGCTCCTGCGTCTGCACCACCTCTCGTTCTCGCACCCACCCCTGCTGCTGCACCAGACCTTGCTCCCGCGCTCGCACCCACTCCCGCGCTCGCACCCACCCCCGCTTCTGCACGCGCCCCCGCTTCTGCACGCGCCCCCGCTTCTGCACGCGCCCCCGCTTCTGCACCCGCCCTCGAGCCCGTGCCCTCTCCCCCTCTCGCGCCCGCTTCTACCCCTGTTTCCGGTCTCACTTCCGCCCCCGCTCCCGCTCACGCCTCTGTTTCCTCCCCACCTGCCCCAGTCGTCTCCGGGTAGACTCAGTTTACTTTCTTTATTTCATTTCATTCTTTCTATGATTTTCTATTTTTTTTAGAGTATTGATGTTTCTTTTTTTGTATATTTCATAGTGTCTAGAATAGAAAATGTATTGAGTTCAATTCATATAAAAGTAAAAAAGTTCGATTTACAGATTAGACACAGCATCACTTCCTTTTCTTTTTTCTTTTGGTTTTTTAGTAGGAGTTTTAATACTTCAAATTTTGTGGTTTGAAAAGATTACATAAATATAAAAATTAAACAATTCAAACAAATATGCCACATGCTACCTTAATATTAAAAAGAAAACATCCTTATTAATTTGATACATTTAACATTTCTGTTACACAAAAGAATTACAGTTTCTGTGTTGATGAACAAAAAACCAATGAATAATTGAAGATGTGATAACGCATGTACCAGAGTAGAAGCGTTGACGAAATGAAGAGCTCCAGTAGTGAGAAACTGGATTTCAGAATTCCATAGCTGGTCCTCTTATGGAGCTTACAACGAAATAGTATCACAACCAGATGTCGCCACTAACAAGTAAAGACATTCCTATCCTAAGGCAGACGGAAGTAGAAACAAAGCAAAGCAAAATTCTCTCCCTATTCTCGCTCCTGCTCTCACACCCACCCTTGTTTCTACTCATGCCTCCCCGCCTACCTTCGTCGTCTCCGAGTAGACTGAGTTTACTTTTTTTCATTTGATTGTTTCTATGATTTTATATTTTTTTAGTGTATTGATGGTTTTTTTTGTATATTTCAGTGTTTCTTGAAAATGTATCATGCATGAGTTCAATTCATATAAAGGTAAAAAAGTTTGATTTACAGTTTATACACAGTATCATTTCCTTTTTTTGTTTGGTTATTTATCTAGGAGTTTTTAATACTTCAATTTATGCCGATTGATGATGACATAGATATTGAAGTTAAACAAAAACAAGAAGAATTTTTTTTAATTAGAACTTTAATAAATACTGCAAACAAATATGCCACTTACTACATTAATATTAAACATACATCTATTTATACTAAATCAACAGTCACTTTAACAAAAACTGCAACACTCTCTATTTGACACGTGGCAAAACTCCCAAATTTTGCTATTTCACTTTTCTAATCCAATTTTATTATTCTTGAAAAAAAATTAACAAAAACAAAATCTTACCATTTTCTTAGCAACCACTCATTTTCTCCACGATCTCAATTTTTTTTTTTTTTTACAAACTCTCTCCTACCTTAATTTACAAAACCATTGTAATGCAAATAAATAATAAAAAAACATACAAATTTTTTTAAATAAGTTTTGTTTATAATCTAAATTGAAAAAAACAATCTACAATTTGATTTTCTGCGTAATCCATCCCTAACAACTTCCCACTTTCATAGACTCACGTTCTTCAAATATTAAAGTAAAATTATTTAGATTTTTTAAAATTGGCATATATGTTGTCCCTGCATAGCAGGGCCATAATACTAGTAACAAATAAAACACAAGGGAAATTAAGGTAATACGGTAAATGCCACAACACTGCTAATTGCCGCTGCAATAGCTCCGACCACAAATCCTGGTAAGTTTCCACCTCCAAATAAGGCATCGATAGGACCAACTGCAAACGATACAACCATTTGTGGTATCACTATTGCCATATTTAAAACTCCTAGAGAGAGTCCTGCAGAGATGACATATCAAAAGAAAACATCCTTATTAATTTGATACTTTTAACATTTATGTTACACAAAACGATTACTTTTTCTTATCGATACATTTATGGCAAATTCCACATGATGAACAAAAACTAATGAATAATCAATTAATCAATATAATTAAATTATTATATAACATACATTAAATGTTTTGGATAACTTATTATCCAAATAGCAAAAATATAATTTGAAAATATTTACTCAATCGTTTATTTGCTTGCCACAAAGGGAAATTCACTTAAACTATGGAGATAATTGGAAATTGATCTCTCAATTAACATTTTTTGTATTCGCACGTTTTAATTAACATTTACTAAAAGAATCTTAGGTTTAAATTAAAAACAAAAAGAGAGTTTAAAATACCTTGGCCGGCGCCGGAGCTGCTTGAAATAATGGAAGCTAGTGCAAACGGAATACTAAATGTAATCTATAAAAATTAGCAAAAAATGGATTAATATTGTTAAACAAAATAATAAATCAATAATAATAGTAACAAAATTTGGTAAAAGACATGTTGGACTTACAGCCAGAGGAATTCCAAGAAGAGCAAAGAGGGTCAATGCTCCAGCTCTGATGCCATCCGTAGGAAGGGCCATCGGACCGGCGATCTTCCGGTGCTCCTCGGCCTTTTTAGTAACCAAAACTGTCATTGCCAAACACACGGCGAGAATTATATTCACAGCTCCCCAAAGCCTTTTAGCTCCTCCCATTTTCCTACTAATCCCTTCAATACCGAGCGACATGAATCCAAGAACGATAGAGTTAAGCATCAATCCCAACGAACCAACTTGAATTCCTTGGTTGTATAGTTTCTTCATTTTGTCATCTCCTTTTGAGTCTCCACCGTACACTTCACGACCCACCCAATCTGTATCGTATAAAAGGAAAGGGAACCACGCGATCCAGTTCAAGGCCGTGACGATTAGTAGCATCCACATTGGACGTTTCATCACCTTGAAAGCTCCAAAGATCTCGCCGAAGAAAGGAGTTTTATCTTTTCCAGAGTCTGCCTTTGGCGACCATTGCTTGTCTTCCACGTACCAAAGAGCTATGATGGTGACGACTAGGAGGAGAGTGATGGAAATGATGAAACAGCTCTTGAGATTTGCGCAATAGATGTCGCATGCTTTAGTCACTGTGAAAGGGAAAATCTTGTGGAGGTTAGTGTACGATCCTGCAGCGTATCCTAAAACGTTTCCAACGGCCATGAAGAAAGAGAAAATCGCGTTTGCTGTTCGCGTTTTCTTAGCGTCTCCAGCTGCTAAATCACCAAGAAAAGCGCGACAAGGTCCTTGAAGAGTGTTGTTAGCCACGTCAAGGATCCAGAAACCGATAACGAAGAAACCAACGGCTCGCATCTTGACAGCTTCGTCGAGTTTGTCTCCCATGGTGTGGCCGAAATCAGCCGCGAATCCGATTAGTATAACAGCAAGGGCGACAAGCAAGGCGCCCGTGGCGATGAAAGGACGACGACGACCGAATCTTGACTTGCATCTGTCGCTGAAGTAACCAACGGATGGCTGGACAAGCAGGCCGGAGATAGGACCACAGAGCCATATGAAAGATGACCATTTATGTGGGACTCCGAGAAGCTGCACGTATGGAGTTAGCAGAGAAAGCTGAAGAGCCCAACCAAACTGAATACCGGCAGCGATAGAAGCCACCGATATCATCTTTCTCAGCGGTGATGGCCCATCAAGAACCGCAGACGAGGAAGAAGACTGTCTATCCAAAGCCGCCGCATCTTTTTTTGCTTGGAGGTCACTCATCTTCACCTTATCTTAAGAGGTTGTGTTTGGTGTTGGTGATGGAGGAGATGAAAGAAACGGGGCTTGCCTCTTAAAGACAAGGTGAAGAAGAGGAATGAGATTTATATTTTTATAAAAATGTTTTGATTCTGTGTTTCAATAGTTTAGAAAATGAATCATTTATACTAAGGCTAGAACGCATATATCCTTATAGGATTGTTGTAATAATGACAAGACTAAGTTAATATAACCGAAATCAGTTTATTATCTTATCCTTATATCATTTATTTTGAGATCGTGACAGATTTCTCCATTTCTTATTCATGTAATATGTTGTTTTTTTTCATTTCTCGTCAAATTTGTTTTCTTCATTTTCCATTTTTAAAATTTCTGTTTGCATCAAACCGCAATATTGTTACATATTATTTTTCCTTCCTCCACAAGAAACAAAAGAATATCTCAAAACCCAATTTGGGACCGTAAGTATTTAAATTGATTATGTCGTCTACGCTCTGGGCCTAACATAACATGGGTCTAAAGCCCAATAGACAATGAACGAGAATAAGCTTCTTGCCTTCTTGGACTAGGGTAAAACAAGTCTTCACTATATATATATTGCATCTTCAAGCCAAATTCCAAATTCTAAAAAATTAGGGTTTATGTTCTCAATAGTGTTCTTCGTATTTGTCGTTTTTTTTAAATTTCTCGCGCAACCCTTAAGATCGCCTTCCACAAATGCTTAATGGAAGCGTGTCGAGTCATAGCTGCGCCAAATCGAATTTTATTTAGGGTTTTTAATTAGGGTTCTCCTAAGTACTAACCCAGTTTTTCCCTTCCTGATTTAGTATAGCTCGAGGTTTTTTTCGGCATTGGTATCTGGAATTAAGGTCCTCTCTCACTGACTCTTCAGATATAAGTGTTTTATCTCTTTTATCTGCTAGAGATCTTAGTGTTTGGGGATTTTCATAATCTAATTCGTACATTTAGTATCTCGTGGTTTATAATCGGGTCGGATATATATTTTTAATCGGTGAATTGTTTTTTTTTTTTTATGGATTTGTAAAGAAACGGCGAGAATGATGAACCAATTAGATGCGCGAATGAGGGGTAATTTTCTCATTATGAGCTTAAAACTGTTTGAGGCATATTAACATTTCTGATATCGCCACTTTTCAAAAGATTTTTTTTGAGTTTTTATTGCTTTGTTTTTGTTGGATTGGTGGAATATGAGGAACAAATGACTCAACCGTGAATCAAACCATGAACCAAATTTTGCTTATTGATATTCTGATTCCACCCTTGAATATGAATCTTTTGATTGCCTTTGTTTTGTTGATTTGGTTTTGCTGTGTTGATCAACTAATATGATACTTTGATTATGAGGGCACTACTTGAACCTGATTTCCTACCCGATTCATGAACTAATCCAGTATAGTAGAATACCAAAAATTTGATAGCTTTGGTTTGCGGGATTGAGGAGTTTCTTTCAAAACAAAACACATGACTACAGAACTTTTGAGATGGACAAGAAGGGACAATTAATGGAAAATTGATCATAGTTATCCAATCGGCCAAAATAAAAATAAAAAAAATTATTACTCCGACTACTCTTGATTGATTTCCTTGGTTTGGTCAGATAAACATAAATCAATCGCATTAGTCATAAGATCAGTCTAGGCGATCTTGTGATCAAGGTATCAAAACTTGGGTAAAAAATTCCCGTTTTTGGTCCATTATGATCATCCTATAGAGCTTTTTGGATTGATTCTTGGTTTAATGTATTAACGATGTCATCTCAACTCTCAAGCTCGCCAGATTTTTTATTTTTTTGGATTGGCTATATATAGTTATAGCTCTTAATTCTTACACCAAGTGGGATGTCATGAATTCAATTTGAAAAGACTGAATAAATAACTGGCTTGTAAAACCTCTTTAATATTCAATGTAAAATTCTTTTTCACATTTGATTCTGTGTCTTGATGACAATTATGACTTGATTTTGTGTTGTTAGTTTTCTCACCATTATCAAAACCCTTCATATTGGTTGGTTTTCTTCCCGTAACAAACATTTTTTCTATCACATCTTTTAGTCGTTTCTTCTAAGCGATCCATTCCATTGATTGGCAACCTCATTGCAAATGAAGCAATAAAAGAGAGAATTGCAATCAGATTAAAAAAAATATAAATTACCAAATGGTACTTTACAATATTACAATTAAAATAATAACAAAAGGCCGAATATACAAACCGTCTAAAAAGGCCCCAAACATAGTTCGTCTAAAACGGCCCAAAACAAGAAACCATCCGATTTTCCTTTTCTCTTGGATTGGCGTTAAAAATTTTGCCGGCGAGATTTCGGATTGAGGAAAAGAAAAGAGATTGGAATTAGGGTTTAGACTCCGGCGAAGAAGAAGATCTCAAAGCTTCGAAGACAGAGAAGATGTCGTCGACTCTCCTCGAGCAAACTCGCTCCAATCACGAAGAGGTTGAAAGATTGGAGCGATTGGTTGTGCAAGATCTACAGAAAGAGCCACCGTCTAGCAAGGACAGATTGGTCCAGGGTCATCGTGTTCGTCACATGATTGAGTCCATCATGCTCACCACTGAGAAACTTGTACGTTTTCTTTCTTCTTCGCCTCAATTCCCGCATTTGTTTTTTCTGAATGCGTTAAGATCAGTGCAGAGAAACAAACTTGGGTTGCTGAATTCTTTTAAATAACAGGTGTTAAATTGAGAAGAAACTTCAGAGGTTGGTGTTGAATATAGGTTATTGTTGGGGTCTTAACTGTGTATGTAGGGATTCTAAGTTTAGAGCTTCAGCATTATTTCACAAGTTTGAGTATATTTTGTTGATAATTCTCATCACTAGATGATGCCTTTTGATTAATGCTAACCTTGATTCTTGTTGGCTGTAAGGTTGAAACCTACGAAGATAAGGATGGGGCCAGGGATGATGAGATTGCAGCGCTTGGTGGCCAGACTGCGACTGGGACAAATGTGTATAGTGCATTTTATGATCGATTGAAAGAGGTTTGTTCTTTATCCTTTGCATCTTCCTTGGTATGTTGCTCTAGGTTGTATTTTAAAGATTGAGCAGCTAACTTTACCGGACTATTGGTTAATCGAGGATGAGAGATTTAGCTGTTGATCTTTGTTTTATAGTTTTATTGGTTGTCTTGATCCACTGGTGATGGAATCCTGTACATAATCTCAGTGAAATTGTATTAGTTCTGTTCCATCAACAAGTTGGTTAGCTGTATATGCGTTGCTTTAAAGAATAGTATTAAGTGGTGAAATTTTCATTAGCAGAGTGCACTCCCTCAATAAGATTCAAATTGCTAATTTAATGTTTTTTTATTGTCTGAATTCTTTGATTTTCTTGTACCACTGATGAAAGTATCAGATTTGCACCTATTTAACTTCTTTTAAAAACCTACAGATACGTGAATATCATAAAAGGCATCCTTCTGGACGTCTTGTTGATGCTAATGAAGACTACGAAGCACGCCTGAAGGAGGAACCAGTTATTGCGTTCAGTGGAGAGGTAGGTTTTTTCTTGAATTTTTATTGTTGCTATTTGTTTGACCCATTTTAACAGTTTTGTAAACCCCTTTTTATTGTTAAATCTTCTTGTCTGTTACGCAGGAAGGCAATGGTCGGTACTTGGACTTGCATGATATGTATAACCAGTACATCAACTCTAAATTTGGGGAAAGGGTTGAATATTCTGCTTACCTTGAGGTTTTTTCCCAACCAGAGAAAATACCGCGTAAACTGAAGTTATCGAGGTAAACATTTCATTGATTTTTTTTTTTTACTTAAAGCCTCCAAATTTGTTTCCAGCATGCAGCTGAATGGCTTTCCTTTTTGTATTGCTATTTGTCATTTTAGGCAATACAGGAAGTATATGGAAGCTCTGCTAGAGTACTTGGTCTACTTTTTCCAGCGAACCGAGCCGTTGCAAGATCTTGACCGGATACTTTCTAAGGTTTAAGATCCTCCCTTTCTTTATCGTTTTATTGTGTTCACCTTGTACCTTATGGATTCTTGTGGGCGTTTTGATCTATGCATTAGTACATAACTGGTATGTTATTCGTGCTTAAGAATTTTCTACTAGTTTCCCAAGTAGAACTTTGGATTTTCTTAGTTCTAACAACTGGTTGCTTTGTGAGTGTTCCATCACCCTGGAGATGATACATGTTTTCGAAAATAAATGGCCATAACTAGATGATGGTTGTATTAAAAATTCATTGGTGCATTGTTTTCACCAAATGCAGAGATTGTATATCCTGGGAAGGTTTTGAACCATATGATAGTTTGACATTCTGGTAGTTCTAGTTTGGTTAATGCTGTGCATATAGTTTGATCTGTTGCAATTAATATGCAGGTTTGGTCTGATTTTGAAGAGCAATATGCAGATGGAAAAGTAGAAGGCTGGGAGAATGGCCAGGACAATGAACTTATTCCATCTCAGCATACTGTCATAGATCTTGATTACTACAGTACTGTCGAGGAACTGGTAGATATAGGACCTGAAAAGCTAAAGGAGGTAATGACCATACTTCATGTTCATATTCTTCTTGAAGCGTTATTTCCCTAATCATATGTTCTTTTTATGCCATTTAGGCATTGGGGGCATTAGGACTGAAGGTTGGTGGTACTCCGCAGCAGCGTGCCGAGAGACTTTTCCTGACAAAGGTTCTTACACTTGCTATAATCTCCCATATATGTTTTTTTAGTTTGTCTTATGAGAGGGTACTTCTATCTACTAGTAGCGGCGTTCGTGTTTTTTTGCTGGGTTTGGAAGGAACACTTAGCTGTTATGAAAGCTAGTTTGGTAGTTCAGTTCAGCTCTTCTTCTAATATTAAACGAAGGTTTTTGCTGGCATAGCTCATGTCTTGTAGGGATTGAATTCTATTTGCAGCTTATCTTATTACCTTGAGGTTATCTAATTTCTATTTTTGTACAGCATACGCCTTTGGAAAAGCTGGATAAGAAACATTTTGCCAAACCTCCACACAACGGGAAACAAAACGGAGATGCCAAATCAACACACGAGTCAGAAAATGCTAAAGAGATTGCACTAACAGAGGCCAAAGTGAAGAAACTCTGCAATTTACTTGATGAGGTTAGTTTATTGAAAGTTCATATTTTACATTTTTTTCCCTCCCAGATTATCTAGTTGTACTTTTTAAAAAACCTTTCTTGTTGTCGCCTTTTTATAGACCATCGAAAGGACAAAACAAAATGTTGTAAAGAAACAGTCGTTAACATATGAAGAAATGGAGGGAGAACGTGAAGGGGAGGAAGCTAATGCCGAATCAGAAAGTGATGATGAGGACGGTGAGATTTACAATCCGCTGAAGCTGCCAATAGGTTGGGATGGGAAGCCGATACCATACTGGCTCTACAAACTTCATGGCCTTGGCCAGGTATGTAGTTTACTTACGAGACCATTGTTGTTAAAGGAACACAGATTCACAGTAAATTTCTTGTTCGTTTAGGAGTTTAAATGCGAGATATGTGGGAACTATAGCTATTGGGGAAGAAGGGCTTTTGAGAGACATTTTAAAGAATGGCGACACCAACATGGAATGCGTTGCCTAGGAATCCCAAACACAAAGAACTTCAACGAAATCACTTCGATTGAGGTATATAATATATGATGAAAGACTTTGTACGGCTTAAAGCAATAAATAGTTTGGTAATTTGATCTTGTGGTTGTTTGGTTTGTTTCAGGAAGCGAAAGAGTTGTGGAAGAGGATACAGGAGAGGCAAGGAGTGAACAAATGGAGGCCAGAACTTGAAGAAGAATATGAAGATCGTGAAGGTAACATTTACAACAAGAAGACTTACTCTGATCTTCAACGCCAAGGTCTTATCTGATTGATGAAATCTTCTCTCCGTACTATATATCACTTTCAAAGCATATCTACTTTTGTAAAATCAAACCATTCGTCATCTTTTTGAGAGGTTACTTTTGTCACCTTAAAACAGTTCTTAGTTTTAGGTAAGCTCGACTATGGTGTATGTTTTTTTGAATTAACTATCACAAACTCAGGATATAAAAATTGTTTTTTTTTTTTTTTTGGACAATGCTAATAAGGAATAGTTGAGCATTTTACGTCGATAACAAGAAATGGATTAATATAAGATATATGTAGAAATCAATCACTATAGTTTTTCATTACAATTCTTTTAGTTTTGTTATTCGGATGGTGTACCAAAAATTTTGAAATATATTTTTGGTCTTTGATATTTTTACAAAATTGGAATGTTTTAATTTCCTTAATTATTCATTTCCTAACAAATCATTGGTTTCTTTTTTATTAAAATTAAAAATGTGAGTCAAACTTTATAAGAATCATCTAAATAAACAGATACAACCTCATACGACTGTCAAAAATTTAGATGTAAGCTATATAACACAAATTTAATTTGAATTTTATTATTACATTTATCTACAATAGATTTTGTTGTTGTTCAAAACACATATATTTGATTTTGGTCAGATTTAGACCTTAAAAATTATATTTGTATCCAAGAAAACCTGACATACAATCTCATTTGGGAAAGAATAATGAAATATACCTTTCTTAATTTCTTTGATCAACTTCAAATGTATTAATTAAGAAATAAAAGTTTGGATGGGCTTTACCTTTTTTATTTACAGTCCAACGGACTCATTCGATGACTAGCAGTAAATTATCCGGTGCCAGCGCATTCTAACTTCGAAGACTAACCTATTTACCGTTAGATCTAAAATCTAATCATCCAACGGCTATAAATGAAAGCCTCAAAAATATGACCGTTGGAATTGAACCGTTGGCTCCTCCTCTTCATAAGAAGCGCTCTCTTCCATTCTTCGTCATAATCTCAGAGGCTCTTTACGAAAGAGAAAAATCAAGACTAAGAAACAAGAAGAGTAAGAATCAGTAGGAGAGCGATCATGGCGACGAGAGCAAACGTACCTGAACAAGTCAGAGGTTTGTTCTTCGCGTCTTTTAATGGGTTTATCGCTGACATCGTCATTCTTAATCCTATGAATCGATTTGAATTTCACTGGGTTATCGTTGATATTGCTGTTCTGAATTCTTTGAATCGATTTTATTTTCTTTCTGGGTTGTTTTCGATATGTAATCTTTGCTTTTTATATTTCATCGACCCCGATTTAAAATCTGGGTTTGGTTTGATTCGTTTTAATTGAGTATAACTCGTTTGCCCTAACTCGGTCCGATTTGGGTATTGTTATGATTACTCGTTAACGATACAGATCCGATTTGAATATGAAGTATCTCGTAATGGTTATCTTTCTCTGGGATCGACTTTGTTAATCTTTAGAATTGAATTGTGAATCGTGTCGATGGGATTTTGTGTGATATGAAATAAAGATGAGATCTTGATGGATTTCTGTGAAACAGGTGCTCCTCTCGTTGATGGTTTGAAGATTCAGAACAAAAACGGTGCTGTGAAGAATCGGCGTGCGCTCGGTGACATCGGAAATCTTGTTTCTGTTCCCGGAGTTCAAGGAGGAAAGCCTCAACCTCCGATTAATCGACCCATTACTCGAAGTTTCCGTGCCCAGTTACTAGCGAATGCCCAACTCGAAAGAAAGCCAATCAATGGAGACAACAAGGTTCCAGCTCTTGGTCCAAAGAGACAACCTCTTGCTGCAAGAAACCCAGAAGCTCAAAAGGCGGTTCAGAAGAGAAATCTAGTGGTTAAGCAACAGACCAAACCTGTTGAAGTGATCGAGACGAAGAAGGAGGTGACTAAAAAGGAACTAGCAATGTCACCTAAGGATAAGAAAGTGACGTACTCGTCTGTTCTTAGTGCTCGGAGCAAAGCTGCTTGTGGTATAGTCAACAAACCAAAGATTCTTGATATTGATGAATCTGACAAAGATAACCATCTGGCTGCAGTGGAGTATGTTGATGATATGTACTCCTTCTATAAAGAAGTTGAGAAGGAGAGTCAGCCTAAGATGTACATGCACATTCAAACTGAGATGAATGAGAAGATGAGAGCGATCTTGATTGATTGGTTACTAGAAGTTCACATCAAGTTTGAGCTTAACCTTGAAACTCTCTACCTCACTGTCAACATCATTGATCGATTCCTCTCTGTGAAAGCTGTCCCCAAGAGAGAGTTGCAGCTTGTGGGAATCAGCGCCTTGCTTATTGCTTCCAAATATGAAGAAATCTGGCCACCTCAGGTACTTACTGTTTTTCAGAAATTTGATTGTGTTTTGATTGGAACTGTGAGCTGATGATGGTGTTCATGTGATGTGCAGGTTAACGATTTGGTGTATGTCACGGACAATGCTTACAATAGCAGACAGATACTAGTGATGGAGAAGACTATTCTTGGAAACCTCGAATGGTATTTGACAGTCCCGACTCAATACGTCTTCCTTGTCCGCTTCATCAAAGCTTCTATGTCTGACCCTGAAGTGAGTCCATTTTTGCTTAAAGTTCAGATTTTTGTTGAAACAATATATATATATAGATTGGAAAGAGACTGACTTTTGTTTTGTTGTTGTATCGTGTAGATGGAGAATATGGTTCACTTCCTTGCTGAATTGGGGATGATGCATTACGACACCTTGATGTTCTGTCCCTCCATGCTTGCTGCTTCAGCTGTTTACACTGCAAGATGCTCATTGAACAAGTCCCCTGCTTGGACTAATACATTGCAGTTCCACACCGGCTACACAGAATCTGAGATTATGTAAGTAGACAAAAAAAGACTTCCATCTGTGTTGTTTTCTGGACTCTTAATTGTATAGAAACTGATGTGGGTTTTTGTGCTGTTATAGGGATTGCTCAAAGCTTTTAGCTTTTCTTCACTCGAGATGCGGTGAGAGCAGGCTACGTGCTGTGTACAAGAAGTACTCAAAGGCTGAGAATGGAGGTGTTGCGTTGGTTTCACCAGCCAAGTCTCTCTTGAGTGCTGCTGCTGATTGGAAGAAGCCCGTTTCTTCTTAGATGGAGAAAGATTGTTTTTTTTTTTCATCAGATTTCTCTCTGATTCAAAATTCTAGATTTGACATGTTAAAATACTCTTTTGTTTTGAGTTCAAACGTATTAATGAATTCTTATCAGTGTGTTTCTTAGTCTCTGATTACTTTGATTTTAGTTTTCTACTGTATCTTTAACAGATAGATGATGTTTGATTGTGTTTGTTGCATCATGCTGAGTAAATGAAAAGCAATAAATAATGACGAAAATCTGTTATCGTAAATCCCATTTATTTTTGTTTTAGTAATAAAAAATAGAGATAATGACTGGAAAGTTTTCATAAAAATTACTCCAATATAGCATATTTTTTACGAGATTATCCACTAAAAATGGTTTATTAAAAACATAATTACAAAATAGTATATATATCATTAATAATTTAATTTCAAAATGGTGGTAGTTGTGAAAGAAAGTTAAAAAATTTCTTTTGTCCCAATCTTAAGTGTCTTATAAACATGGTCCATCTTTTGATCAGATCTCAAGAATCTTAATGTTCATATCTAAAAAGAGCTTATTTTTCTAAATTCATCAAATTTGTTAAATTTGGTTGTTAAATATGACAAAATGTTATGTAGTGGAGTAGTAAAATTTGGGTTTAAAGCTAAAAAAATCTGATCACCTCTCCCTCTCTCTTTTGAAAGAGCTTTCTTTTTACTTATGCACCGAAAGTTGAACACAAAACTCGTGAATATTACAAATCTGCCACTAGAGGTGAATTTTTTGATTAAATCGTTTTTCTTTTTTTTTTTGATCTCACGGGGGTTGTCGTTGTTTCATGGAGAGCACGACGGAGCAGCCGAGGAACATCTCGGGATCGATGCAGAGCCCTAGATCTCCATCTTCGCAGCCGTATCTGTCAGTCTCCGTCACAGATCCTGTCAAATTAGGCAATGGCGTTCAAGCTTACATCTCTTACAGAGTTATCACCAAGGTATATCCTTCTTGGTAGCTGATTTTACAGGCTAGGGTTTCTATTTGAAAAATTGGGGGTAACACATGATGGTTCGCCGATTTTGTTGTTGCGAAGCTATCTAATTGTATGATGAGCAGCTAGAATTTGGGTTTAGTTATGGTTTTATGATGAATTTGTTTCTCTACGGATTGATTTCTGAAGAATTGGATTGGTTTTACGGCAGACCAACTTGCCGGAGTATCAAGGACCCGAAAAGATTGTTATCAGACGATACAGTGATTTCGTCTGGTTACGGGATCGGCTTTTTGAGAAATACAAGGGCATTTTCATTCCTCCTCTTCCAGAGAAGAGTGCTGTAGGTAAATTTGCTAGCTTTGCCCTTTCTATATCTTTCGAATTTGAATCTTTTGTGGTCAATTTTAGAATTCAGTATCTTTTCTGTAGCTCTCTGTCTAGTGGAACGCATTATCTGATTGAGTCAAAGATATGAATCGTGCATCTCTATAGTTTATGTCAGTCACTCCAGCTATCCTTGTTAGATTTAGTTAGATTAGCTGTTAGTTAGAGGTCTCTGGAAAGTGCACAAGGGTAATGTAGAGCTTTGATAAAGTTATTGTATACTTGGGAGTGCCTTCCTCGTATAATTGTAATCTGATGGAGATGAGTATATTGGATTCATGTTTATTAATACTCTTTTTGGCAGAAAAATTCCGCTTTAGTGCCGAATTTATTGAAATGAGGCGAGCAGCATTGGATATATTTGTTAATCGAATAGCATTACACCCTGAGCTTCAGCAGAGTGAGGATCTTAGGACCTTTTTGCAAGCAGATGAAGAGGTGGGATATCCGGACTTTACGTTTCTGGCGATTTTTTTGTTATTTTACCTTCCGCCACATCATTTTCACTTAAGAATGCTCATAACATGCATTTTTTTGCTTCCCTGAGGGCCTGCAGTTTGCATTTTAGAAGGTTCTTGTCTTTGTTTGACAGTTTACTTTTCTTGTCAGACAATGGACAGATTCAGGTTTCAGGAAACTGGTATATTCAAGAAGCCTGCAGATCTAATGCAAATGTTTAGGGTAAGCATGAAGTTTCCTGACCTTGTGAAAAATATTTTCAACATCATACAAGATCTAGTAGCGGATACATGTTGGCATGCTACTAGGAAGTTTAATATGGAATTTAGCTTATGCTGGACATAATATACCATTAGCCTCTGATAGTTAAATTATCTTACAAAGTGAAACTTGGCATGTCTTGCCTATATGATTCTTCACATTGTTGTAACTATAAAAGTTGAAAGCTCCCATTATATTGGTTACTTCGCTCTACCATGGTTGGGAATCCTTAAAAAGCAAAGAGAAAATACTTCTTAAATTTGAAATTTATTATTGATTTTCTTCACTCTTCGCTCCATGCTCTTTATTAACTTTTGTGGTGCGCCATCATCTTACTGCCATATCTGCACTATTGACAGGATGTCCAGTCAAAAGTTAGTGATGCTGTCCTTGGAAAGGAAAAACCTGTTGAAGAAACTACTGCTGACTACGAAAAGCTTAAGCATTACATTTTCGAGCTTGAGAACCACTTGGCTGAGGCTCAGAAGCATGCATATCGCCTTGTCAAGAGGCATAGAGGTAATAAATCACAAGTCAGAATTTAATCTATATAAATTCTGTTATGTTTTCCGTTTTTCTTTCCCAACCGCATGAATAGATCTTCAGTGTTAATGCTATATCAACTTTATGGCAGAGTTGGGTCAATCACTGTTGGATTTTGGCAAGGCTGTAAAACTTCTTGGGGCTTGTGAGGGTGAACCTACAGGAAAAGCATTTTCCGATCTTGGAACTAAATCTGAACTGTTATCGATTAAGCTCCAAAAAGAGGTACTAAGTTTGTAAGCCTAGACTAGGCGTAAAGCATCTTTTTTTCTTCTTTTGCCATTATTGTCAGATAATCTATATATCTTGGCCACATGTACATCTATCCTATTTTCTTAGATGCTTTTATTGTTGCACTATTTGTAGGCTCAACAAGTCCTGATGAACTTCGAGGAACCTTTGAAGGACTATGTTCGTTATGTGCAATCAATTAAAGTGAGTTCTCTAGCCTTTGCCTTTGGGATTGATTTATCTTTCCTGGTTGCGTTTTGCTGGTATTAACTCTATCTTCTTGTTTCTGTTTTGTGTTTATCCAGGCAACAATCGCAGAGCGAGGCACTGCTTTCAAGCAACATTGTGAATTGGCAGAAACAACAAAGTTAAAAGAAATAAATCTGTATGATGGCTTCTCTGTCTTAACTTCCTCTTTGTCAATAATCGTCTTAGAACATTCTATAAACTCTCCTCTGTTATTGTAGTGACAAACTCATGCTCACACGTTCAGACAAAGTAGGAGAAGCTGAGATCGAATACAGAGAGGTAACAACAACTCAAAACAATCCTTGAAAAGTTTTGTAGTAATGCTTTTTGGTGCTTAAACTTGAGGTAACAATGCAGATAAAAGCAGAAAGTGAGGAGGCTACGAGAAGATTTGAGAGGATAGTGAAGAGAATGGAGGAGGAGATAGTAAGGTTTCAAGAGCAGAAGACTGAAGAGATGGGAGTCGCATTCCATCAGTTTGCGAAAGGACAAGCTCGCTTAGCAAACAGTGTCGCGGATGCTTGGAGATCCCTTCTTCCCAAACTTGAAGCTTCTTCTACTGTCTAAAACCAAAGTTATATCTTTGTGGTCCTTCATGAGAGGGTTTGTGTCTAGAGGCAGCTTGTTGTTGTTTTTAAAAAAATTCTGGTGTTTTTGTCAACTTAAAGTTTTAGTTAACTTCGCTTGTTTCCACTTGTAAAGAAGATACATGTGCATCATTATTACTTGATAGATTACAACTTTCCCAGTTCACTTACTTGATAGTATATTGAATCTTCTATGTATTACATGTTGCAGATCAGAACTGTGTCATCATTTTTAAGATATGTTGCTGGTTTGGTTAGATTTTGTTTTGGTTATACTTTTTAGCCCAAAATGGTAACCTTCGTAATCATTGGGAGGGTTCTTCTTAGCTTTAAAATTTATCCGAAGACGATTGACAACAAAAAGCGTTTGGCGAGAGAAGATGACGTGCTTCTCTTCCGCTACTCCTCATCGCCATCATCTTCCTCTTCCTCCATCAACTTCCAAATCCCTGCTTCGATTTCCCTCATCTTATCTCAAACCTAGCCCCAGTCTTCTCTTCCATGGCTCATCTCGCTCTCTCCTCTCTTGTTCAGACGGTAGCAACAACGGTCCTCCTCCCTCCGGTGACACCGTCCCAAAGCAAGTTCTTCCTCTGATTCTTCTTTTACTTATGAATTCTATGTTTCATCTGCGAATCTCACCTGGGTTTGGCCAAATCGATATCTATTGTTTTCGAATTTCAGCTCGATTAGTGATGATACTGGAATTTAGAAATGATATCAGAAAGTGGGAAGCCTTGTAGTTATTTGTGTGATCTGTATCGTATAACGATTATTATTTCGTGGTGGATGTTTCAGTAACTTCTGTATCATTGAGGGATCAGAGACTGTTCAAGATTTTGTGCAGATGCAGCTTCAGGAAATCCAAGATAGCATAAGGAGTAGACGCAATAAGATCTTTCTCCTCATGGAGGAAGTCAGGCGGTTACGAGTTCAGCAACGTATTAAGAGTGTTAAAGCCATCAATGAGGACAGTGAGCTCGAGGCTACCGAGATGCCTGAGATCACATCTTCTATTCCTTTTCTCCCTAATGTGGTCAGTTACAATTATGAAATGTTCTCTTGTTCAGTTTTTCGATATTCCCTACTGTTTAACTCTTATCTTTTGATATAGACACCAAAGACTTTGAAACAACTCTATTCGACCAGCGTTGCATTGATATCGGGAATAATCTTCTTTGGTGGTCTCATTGCACCTAATGTTAGTACTTGAGTAGATTCCACGTTTCTTTCCTTTATGTTCTCCTATAACATATATCAAAGCTCTCGATTTTGTTTGTGAAATCTTGTTTGAGTTAATGCTTTTCACACTGTCATCTCAGTTTATCGCAGCTCTTAGAACCCTACTTATCTTACAACAATGCACGATATTGAGCTCTTTAAAATAGATGCATTTAATTTACCGGATATTTTGCTAAAATACATGCATTTTGTTGATAGCAATAGAAATTTGTGGAGATTAGTAATTTTCCTTCTTTGTGATGTACAGTTTTCTGGTTTTCTATTGATTTTTGCTACTTTAACTTTACCAGAAGAATAATAGCTATTCTTGGTTTTCTTAATCCTTGAATGACAAATTGATGATTTTACATGGCAGCTGGAACTGAAGGTAGGACTTGGAGGAACCTCTTATGAAGATTTTATACGGAGCTTACATCTGCCCTTGCAATTAAGGTACTACTAGTTCAGTAGCTTGATCTAGTCAACTTTACTTGTCCTGAATCTAAAACAGCGACATTGAAAGAATTCTTTTTTTGACTGTAATGTAGCCAGGTAGATCCAATAGTGGCATCTTTTTCTGGTGGGGCCGTGGGAGTCATTTCAACCTTGATGCTAATTGAAGTTAACAATGTCAAACAGCAAGAGAAGAAGAGGTGCAAGTACTGCCTTGGGACTGGTAATTCTTTTCTACATATCATGAATATTCTTGATTTTTTCTTCTTTTAAACAACTCTTGAAACTGGTCTGTGTTTACTTGATAATAGGATACTTGCCATGCGCTCGATGCTCAGCTAGTGGTGTGTGTTTAAGCATTGATCCCATAACAAAACCTAGAGCTTCAAACCGGCTTATGCAGGTCGCGACAACTAAAAGGTGTCTAAACTGTTCCGGCGCAGGAAAGGTAAGATGTCTGCATTTCATACAATCTGAGTATTTGACACTTCATTCTTGTCCTTGTAATGTTGAAATGTGTATATGCATATGAATCAGGTGATGTGTCCGACATGTCTTTGCACAGGGATGGTTACGGCTAGCGAGCACGACCCGCGCTTTGACCCTTTTGATTAGAAAACAATGACCTTTCCTTTGAAATTTAGGGTGTTTTTATCTATGTACATTGGTCCTTGCAAAAGCTAAGCCAAGACTATGAATGAACTGAGGAGAGCCAAACCTCGTCATATAAATGCTTTACATAATAAAGTAACATAAGAATTTATAACTCTTCGCTATACATGGGAAAGTATCGGTTCTGTAAAATTCTTCTTCACTAACACAAAATTTCACCAGACGATCTCTGGTGAAGATAGCCATATCAACTCAGTCATAAGCTGCTTCTCGTCTTGCTTCCTCGCATACCGGTTTAATTAATTAATTGGTCATCGAACTTCTTACTGCCAATGTTATAATATACGTTAATAAAAAAAAAGACTACGTGAAAGTACAACAAGACAGTTTGGCCGAGTGGTCTAAGGCGCCAGATTTAGGCTCTGGTCCGAAAGGGCGTGGGTTCAAATCCCACAGCTGTCAATTATTTTACTATTGTTTTTGGAAGAATATTTTGAAAACTCAAATGTATCATCTTCTTCTCATCCATCTGTCGTCGTCATGGTAACTTCTTTCTCTCCATTGAACTTTGTTAGATTTCCATTTCGAATTGTAGCTAGATTCCGAGAATACCAACCAATTGCGGCGTGATAGTTTGCAGGGCCGGTCCTACAATATATGTGGCCTAAAGCATAATTAGATTTGAAAAAAAAAAAAAAAAAAGAAATTAAAAACATTTCCAGTAAAGGTTTTGTCACTGGACTATTGAGACGTTTAAGAAATATGACCTCATTTCTTTAATTTATAATTTGTGGCCTAAAGCAAAGGCTTTAGGTGCCTTATGGACGGGCCGGACCTGATAGTTTGATACATAGTAGCCTTAAAGAGATTTCTCTATGATTCATTGGTTTTGCTAGTGGAGATAGTAAGTAACTAGTATTAGTCTCTCTGTTTGTAGTCGTCTAGGAGAAAGACCAGAGAACCAAAGGAGGAAAATGTCACTCTTGGACCATCTGTTCGTGAGGGAGAGCAAGTTTTTGGAGTTGTTCATGTCTTTGCTTCCTTCAATGACACTTTCATTGTAAGTTTCTCATCATTTCTTTGGGAGCTCCATGTAATAGTCTTGTGTGTGCATTACGTTTACCTTGATCCTAATAAAATTTGCAGCATGTGACTGATCTCTCTGGAAGAGAAACTCTCGTTCGTATCACTGGTAAGTCTTATTTCTCTGCTATGTTGAAACGTTTATTTTTGTGTTTGCAATTTAATATTTTGCCAAGCCCTTTGTCATGATTCAGTCTAGGTTGAAGTTGTAAAGGCTGATCGTGATGAGTCTTCTCCTTATGCTGCTATGCTTGCAGCTCAAGATGTTGCTCAAAGATGCAAGGTTTAATATTTATGCTTTTGAGATGTTCTTTTGGCTTTTCGAGCTTCTGGTTTAATTGCAATTTACCTATATCAGGAGCTTGGCATCACAGCCATTCATGTGAAGCTCCGTGCCACTGGAGGAAACAAGACCAAGACTCCCAGGTCCTGGTGCTCAGTCAGCCCTCCGAGCTCTTGCTCGTTCAGGCATGAAGATTGGTCGCATAGGTAACTCTATCTATTGTTGTAAATTCTAAATACCTGTTAGATAATTTGTGTTTTCATGAGCAATTTTAATAACTTTTCTGCTGAATTGTAGAGGATGTGACTCCAATTCCAACCGATAGTACCCGTAGAAAGGGTGGTAGAAGGGGACGACGTCTCTGATTTTCTCACCATTATCTACCATTCTCACAATTCCGTTTAGTACTTGTACTACATTCGCAAAATCTTTCTGTAAGACTTTGATTTTGATCTGTGTAACGTTAGGAAGAAATGGATACAGAATGATGGTAAATAAAAGTAGTTCTGTTTTTTCTTCTTTGCCTTGCTTTTTATTTTCTGTTGCAGTAGTCTCTCTTACAAACGCCTTAAAGCACAAGTGAATATCATCTATTCGAAAGAAGCTCAATTTACAATATCTTAAGGTCTTTTGAAAATTTGTAGATCTCAAGATTTGTGTTATATATTCCTGGTGGATGGCAGTGTAAAGGGTTTCTCATTTTTGAAAGCCATCTATGTTGTGGTATATGCAGTAATCCTTGAGCAATATAAGTTGATAAATACTTGAAAATTATACGAAAATCCAGACAATAAACGTGGTTAAAACAAAACAAATACTGCATTTTCTTTCAGATTTGTTTACCATCCATCACAAAACAAATACAAAGAATATGTGACCTAATAGCTCCCAACAATTGCCAAAGTAAACCCTAGATTTCAATGTTTTACATCAACTTTGTTATGGAGCTGACAACAGTTTTGGAATGAGACAAAATAAATCCCAATGATGAATAAGCCACAATTGCGAGGAACCACCAAATATCATAAGCTACGTGATTTTTCTTCATATTACCCTTTCTACTGAGAGAATAAAGAAACTGTACAGTACCACAATCTTAAGACTACTTTTTTGGTTTTTCCATTTTTTAACTTCTGAAGATTTTTGAAGTGGGAACTTCTGGTTCACTGTTTCATGTGGGTCTTTTTGATGAGACCCCTAATGTAGTAGACTGGCTCAGGGACTGTGTTTGGCCAATTCTATTTAACGCGGAACTCGTGTCTGAAAAGGGTCAAGTTCTGAGTGAACTTGTCTCTGTTCTTTGAATCTAATCCCCGCGATATGTCTGTCATAAGACTGTCAAAGCAGGCAGAGAGTCGCTGGTGTTGATCCACGGGCTGCACCATTAAAATAATGCTCATAGGCATACACAAAAAGCAACACTTAGGGGTAAAATGGTTAAAAATATAGAATTTTGGATCATACCTGTGATGAGAGGATCTTAGCTTTCAGATCAGAGAAAATCTGGTGAAAGCAATTGGAATAAGTTAGATATGAATGAACAACAAAGCTCATTCGGAACAGAAAACTGCACAAGAGCGATAAATGTATTCTCCACATACCTGCTCACTTATAAGAATCAAGCTTAACATTGGTCTGCTGAGACTCCACTGATTGCCACAATCCTCGAATAAAACTATTTCAAACAGTGTCTTCAATATCTGCTTGTAAGAGCAAATTTGTTAGAACGCATTATTGCTCGTCATAATTGTGTTCCATCTAACAAAGAGAAATTGAGGAGTGTAATGAGTTACCTCGGGGAACAAACTCGGGCAGTCTGCAATGTGCTGTGCAAAACGAATAGCAGCAGGAGAAGTAGGTGCCTCACCCATTGTGATGTTATTGAAATAATATGAAGCAAGATTGTCGACAGCTATTGCACACTGAAAGGATAATAGATATTAATGCTTCAGAAAGTTGCATTTTGAGGTTTCTATTTTGCAGGTTAAAACTTTATAAAATTCTTGATAAATAAATGGGTCTTAACATTTTTGACACAATTCTCACCTGTGATGAAATACTTGTGTCCAACCCCTTGAGGCCAGATTCAAGGGAACCTACGAGATGCATAAAGGTGGCAGTATCCAGTTTCAATATGAAGGTAATATGACTGGCACACAAAACCTCGACGAATCCAAAGTATGCCTTTGTAAGCTGAAGGATGAAAGGAAGACAATAAAGATTTGAGATTTCATATGGACAAAAAAAGAATTCAGAATACGCATCAGTTAATTGAGATAATGCAAACAATATCAAAAAGAGTAGCAAAAATTGTACATGCGTTTATTGAAAAGTTCAAAAACGGGTTGATTTTATCACCAAATGAAATTATTGGAGGCACGTGGACAACTAGAAAACGCAATGCCGAACATACCTTGCGATAAGCTAATATATCTGCCAAGGGTATTGCAAGGGTCATCTTCAACGCAATATCAAGTGCATCCGCAAGAGCCCGGTCGCCATAAAGTTCAAAGACACCGAAGTTGCAATAATTTCCCGAGAGCGCTGCCCATTAGATGATGGTTAGTATCATAACATAATATTAAACTAAACAATGAATGGTTAGCTCTCATTGGTCAAAATCATGTTCTAACCTCTTGACAGAATTGTCAGTGAAACCCAGATCCCCTTGTATTTGAAGGCATATATATCCGCAACATTTGGCAGGGATAAAATCCTTGAACCATAAGCCACAATCAATTTACTGACTTCCCGGAAAAGCAGGATGCCATTTGGAGAAGAAGAATCAAAAGTAAGGCGCTGCGTTTTGTTATGCACAAACTCCGCCATGAACTTCAACAACGGGGTCGTAACCTACATCAACAAGCCAAGAAGAGGAGATGAGACAATGAAGGCACCACTAACCACACAAAATGGCAGAAAGCGTAAAATCACAAACAGTGGATTAGAATCTTTTTTTCTATGCGCGGACTCAAGTTATTACTAAGGTCACTGTTCTGTCAATCCAATGGAGCAGAATGCATATCTAAATACCTCTGGTGTGTCGAACCAATGTGAGATCCCTCTCAAAAGGAGTGGCATGTGTGCAGGATAGAGCCAGTCAAATAGAAAACCATAGCTTCTCCGGCTGAAATCAAAAGAGAACGCTTCAATAGATCATAAGATTGTAACATGTCTATGGATGTCAAAGTAACTAGATGAAGTCAAAACCTGCTAGTAGCCATTGCAATTCCTCTTAAATCCCTCATCAATCCGATCAGAGCAAACTTCACAGCATCAGTGCGAAACATTGAATCTGGTGCTGATTCCAGGGTGCGGAAAACCTAGAATGATTGAATAACAGAGTGGTTTACTTATTGGCTTAAAATTTATGAAAATTATAGATCGCAATACACCATTATAAATTGGATATAAAACAATGCATACAACAGAAAATATAAGATCACTATGTGAAACTGCCTATAAGATATTGTAAAATGGATATGGAACAATCCCTGTTTATAGGATATCAAACTATGCCTAGAACTAGTAAATAGGGTGACGATTCTGCAATATCAATGCAAATTTCACCATGGACATTAGAACATGTCTTCCTTAAGTTTCACTTGCGTTAATGCATAAGAAGAAACACAAAACTTGTTTCATCTCTTCTTCCTTACAAAACAGGCAAGCCCATCATCATAATCAGAGAACAGTGAACAGTATGCAGTGCAGATTCAGACAGAATCATTATTCTAAAATGGAAGCTGCAAAGATAAGATGCTGAAAGAAAATAAGTATAACCTGCAGAAGGGGTTCCATAGAAGTCTTGAACTTTATTAAGCTATCCTCCATGAAAATCAACCAGCCAATAGTGTAGTAAAACGTTGTTCTGCTGCGAGAGCATCTATACTCTTCTAAGAATGGAAACTGCTCCCTCTGGAATTAGACAATTCACATAGTAAGATTATTGCTAATGAATAATTACAATGCACAATGATGTCCACAAAAGCGAGTCCTTGGAGAAGAATTACAGTGTGATTAGATATAATAAAGGTCACGGTGTCCAACTTCAAAAGCAGCTTCCCGGTCATGTATCTGCACAAGAACAGCAAAACACAAAAAATCGATATGAAAATGTATATAAACTAATATAATATCAACTTAATCAGGTTATAACAGAGTTACCCAGATGCCAACTCCAGAAACAAACTTAGCGTGTGACCAATGACTTCTTCACTCTGGAGAAACAAAAAAATAGATTGTTTGGACAATAGGTGACATTGATGTACAGCAGCATGCTAGAAAAAGTAAAGAACACAAGATTACCTCTGTATAACATTTTAAGTTTGTAGCAATCTTGCCAACAATAACGTTCAACAGAACAAGATGATCATGCAGTCCAAGGAGTTCTTTCAATCTGGCATACAACTGCTGCAACAGAATGGTAGTATCAGAAATATACATAGAACAAATAAAAATATACAAGAAAAAAAGAAACAATTTGCATTTACTTTTGATGAATGCATGGCCTGATCACCAACGTAAGACTTTCGGAAATTCTGGAAGAAGGTAAGAATGGCACGATCAAGCCTTTGTCTACTAATTTCACCATATCGCTGCAGAAAGAATGTGTTATTTGATTACTTTACAGATGAGATCAAAGTAGTGAACTCATCTGGGAGAAAAATAAAACCCAACAGGTAGGGCATAGGATTCTTGAAACGTCATCACAATATCCTATGCAGTTCATGCATAAAATTAATTTCATAACCGTTAATGAAATCACTCTATGTTAATAATTGTGGCTATACAGGCTTACGCCCTTTTAGCTCAATCTTCCAGCTGTAATGATGGTTTATGTTCAGAAGAAATGCAGAAATAGAACCATACATCAAGAGATTATCTAATAATACTTTATGTTGGTTTAATTTAATTGCTTGCATCTAACAGATGTAACACCTGTCTATGCAGTCCACTGTCCATAACATTTACTAGCCGCAAAACACGAGCGGAGAGTTCAGCATCAAGCATCTCTTGCGTCTCCACACTGCAAAATACGTTTAATTTTCAATAATGTTCATATATTGTTTTGTTCTTGAAACAAACCTCAATGCAAAGAAACCCAAAGATATGATAGCAACTTACCTACAACCACTGCACTGCTTTATTTTAACAATAGCGGCAACAATGTGAACAATCCATGACAATTTTGCTTCAATAAGTGCTAGTTCAGAATTATCAGCAAACTGTAGCTGTCCTCTTTCCTGTTACACAATCACTCAGCTCAAGTTTAAGAAGACACGTACAAGAATTGACAGAACAACAATAAGCTAAACCCATAATAACAGTTAGCTTTACCGTATATGATTGCAGAAGAGGCTCCATTGTGTTTATTATATACGTACCAGTTCTTTCATACTGCACGATAAGAATCTCAGATGCAGTTCAATTGTATAAAGATATAACATAATCAAACGAAACATGTGAGCAAAACCAGGGTACTACATGACACACATATGAAGAAAAGACTAACCTGAAATCTGCATAGGTAAGGAAAGCAATCCAGCTCATCCTGCAGAACTTCAACTTTATCCAAAGGATGATCGGTCGGGTCATCGGGGACGCTAGCCTGGACAGGGGGTTTCAAATGGGAACATATCAAAGAAAATCTACAAATTAATACTGGCAATCCTCCAGAATAAGTGGTGTTATATACCTGCACAGAATTGAATCTGGAGATGATAAAACCCTCTGTAATTTTAGGTACAAATTCATCAAGTAGACTTGGTGAATCACCCTTCAAGTATGGGACAGATGCTACTAATCTGGACCACATCCCAAGAAGGTAATAGACGCTGCTGCTGGCCCACTGTAAGAAAAAGGGTCATATGGATTTTGCAAACAAGATACCATCTCCGCCAAATATTTAAGCTATACTAAAAACGATCATGTTGGAGGATGAGCAGAACTTTAAAGACTAGTAGTGTCTATAATTGGTATGCTAATGCATTCAATAACATAAAATTGCGAACCTGCCATGACTGGAGAGATTTAAGTGTGAATTCTGCCACCAACTGTATCCACTCACCATAACCTTCCATCTTCACAAGCTCTGAAAGCTGCAGATGAATTCATACATGTAACATGCTATTACATAATGTCTGATTTATCAGCCATATAAACCAATAAATTATATCCAAATGGTATTTGACAATCATGGATAGTGTCACTATTTACGAATAGTTAAGACTGACCAACTGTCACATACAGAAAAAAGGAACATGTGTGTATTTACCCAAGTACATGGCATCATAACATAAACGTCAAGCTACAACACAAGCAAAATTGCAATGTGTAAACTAAACAGGAATTTAACCGAGAAATTTACCTGATAATTCAACCTAAAACGCCCAAGTAGACGGCAGAACACGTGGTAATTATCATGATCAGCAAGACCTGATCCAACAAAAGCAATTTATGTTGACGCACCAGGATCAGTGAGATGTTATAGTTCAATGAGGTGTAAAGTTTGTAAATGACAAAGTTGCATACAATGCAACACCTTAAGCGTAATATTTACAGTCAGACATAGGAAAGTCCCACAGTATATAAAACATCAAGCATACCTTTTCCAGTTTGAAGAATTTCTTTGGTTCCTGTCATCAAATGAGCTAGAAAATTAGAGCGCGTAGCATCATTTGTGAACAGAGAGCGCCTTACAGAAGCCAATCGCACCAAGCATTCAAGTGCCTAGAAGTTAAAACAGAGAAACATTAATAAATAACAAAATCTAAGTCATCTATAACTACCTATTGAGTCCCAACTGTACATGAAATAAATCATGCCCTCACTGACATTACTGCAATTAAAACATCTGTCCTCGTAAGGAGAGAATAAAAATTAACAAAAAAGTAGTCAAATTCTATCTTTGATGCAAAAGATGGCATTTTGCTTCTTCTATTCAAGAACTGAAGAAAAAACAATAAACAATAAAGACATACCTCTTTCGAAAGAGGGGACTCTGTACTACCATAATAATCGAAAAATATCTGCAGCGTGGAAGAATCCTCCAATACTGACCTCCAGGAAGTTGGAATCTAAAAATTATCAGTAATACTAGAAGTTATAACACCCTTGAAAAACGAGTACACAAATACATAGGAACTAAGCATTGAAACAGAGGTTGAAGATAGAAGGTCACTAATGTTCTACCTGAACTGTACCAAACTCCTCTGTGCTTTCATCAATTGAAGTTCCGACAAAGTCAAATGATACACACCTCAGTGCAAGAGAAAGCGCCAATTCTTGTAAACGACCAGAGGCTGGTTAAAAGAAAATCTCTGACTCATTACTTTTGAAAATTTCCATGCTTATGCCAAGACCAACAGATATACATCAACAAAGATGGCAACATACTTAACGATTACAAAACATTCCAATAGCATAAATTTTGAAGCTGGTATATAGAAGTTTTCACCCTTGGCATGAAGGAATATAAGGGAAAAGCTGACATAGATGACTCATATTACCATCATTTTTCAGATAGCTTAATGACGTCAAAGCTATTCGGAATATTTGAAATAAGGATTGATCCCTAAAGTTGCATGCAACCCGCCGGTGATGTGTAGATGGCAGTCCTGGATTAGGCTAATAATTGAGCAAAAAAAGATGAAGAAATGTCAATAATCATTTCAAAGAAAAAACCTGGTAAGTTGAAGCACAGTAGAAAATAAAAAGTTAGAAATCAATACCCACGAAAATATATTTTTTGTGACACGCTATCTATCTAAAAACATGTACACTGTGCACATATATAATTCTGCCCAGTCTAACAAAACAGCCATCTTAAATGTTTTTAATAAGAAAATAAAGGAATGGTGAAAACAGACAATTATTTAGATACAGCACAAAACTCTCATTTGTATCTATAACAGACTGATACTCTAGATCAAAAAGAAACAAAAAGATGACGCAAGTCAATGCTAATATATGAAACCATGACTCTAAGCAATGAGCAATCCATGCCAAGAAACTCAAACTTAAAAGAGAGTTATTCCAGCCTATGTTAAGACATGGCAATGACATGGAAAATCAACCACAATACATCACTAACCTGATTCATCTCCTGCACAAGTTGATCCAAAATTCTTAAACCAATAGCATAGTGATCCGAGGAGCCCTATTCAAATAAAATTGATGTAAGCAACATATTCAGCAAGCCCTTGTTGAAAATATCTGAAACTTCTACTGAAGTATCATCTACATGTGTTTATGAGAAAAAATGTCCACAACGCACTAGTAACCATGGAAACACAGTTAACTATATTCCCCAAGAAGATGCACCACCTGTTCCAAGAAGTTTGTAGACTCCTTAACCACATCCCTGAATCTATCATCATCTAACCATCCAAACTTTGTGAGCCGGCAAAGCAGTTGAATAAGCGAAGCAATAACAAATGATTGCATCTTCGGTCCTCTTGTAGCCAGATAGTTCACAATATAAGCCCCTAAAGACAACAGAAAGAACACCAAAAACAAGTAAGATATTTAAGGCCAAAAAGAGATATTTCTAGTTATTTGGTTAAATGGGAATAAGAAGTTTACTGATGTCAAGGCGAAGATTCAGCGGAAGGGTATGATCAGTCACTTGCTTTAACAAACTCGAGCTAGCGAGCATTAAGGAATAAGGTTTTGATGAATTGTCGAGAATGTATTGACATTGCGATATATAATCCGTATTCACGGAAAAGCATCTCAGACTATTTTCAGCATGAGCCCTCTCAGCTGAATCCTGTGAGTTGTATAATCTCTCGCACATTGCCTCAAGTTGCGCCAAGCTCTCCATTGGTAACAAAGCAGAATCTGACCAAAAAGGTAGAAAACCATAGATACCACTACCGTTTTAACAAGAATATTTCGGCAAGATTTCAGGTTTAATACAAAGTATTCTGATTTAAGAACTGTTAAGTGGCAACAAATGACGGGAATGAATCATTACAATAATATTTTCCCAGAGAGCCTTCATTGTTTTTCAATCAAAATTTCTAGAACTGGATTGAAAATTTAGGATCACAATAAGTCAAAACATGTTGCAGGAGAAAAAAAAACACATATGATACATTTCCACAATAAACGCAACCCACTATTCATCCAAACAGAGATGGAACAACATTAACAATGACAAAAGTGCAGTATCAGTTACGACAGACAACACAAGTGAGCTACCAGTAAATATCATGTAGATCTCATACAGCAAAGAAGCGCAAGAGAGAGAGAGAGAGAGAGAGTACACAAATAGTATAAGAAAAATACGTAAAAGCCTACTGGCAGAGATAAGTTCCTAACTCTGCATGATGGAAAATGATTCAAGCTGTCTATCACCTTACTCCAGCTCAGTACTCGGTTGATTTCTGTTTAAAAGGTCAAAAATCAAACTTCAGTTGCCAAACCACTCATGTAAATACTCACACTAGTCATACAAAACGCCGGACTTACACACAACTCTAAGTGAGACCACACATTATCAAATGCTGCTATACGCTTGGCACGTCAGACAACATTTGCTAATTTCCAGCAGAAAAGATGGACAAGATCCAAAACTCTAAGAAGATATTAAGCGTAGACTTTACAGTATCATTTCGCCACAGCTAAATCCTATCTGATTTTATGAAAGCGCAAGGAAAATGTGTTGATGAAACAACAAACGAAGTATGTAGACAATAGAAATGGTACTCTAAATCAACTTAACCATTCTCGACACTGTGCAAGGACAATCATAACCACTAGAACACAGAAAACGGAAATAGTAAGGAGAAATGAACACATAGAAAACCTAGATTTCGTATTTCAATCATTTAGCGCAAACAAACATGAATAAGACTTATCATCGATCTTCACCACTTGGCGAATCACAACATTAAGAAGGACAAACCATCGAGCAAGAAAAAAAGGCGGAAAAAGCAACGATGTGAGAAACTAAACTTTGGCTTACCAGAGATTGAGCTGGTAGCTAATCAGATTTGTTGTTCGGTGAGTTATTCCGGCGAACTTAAATCTCGATCAAGCGAAGCGCCGATGGTTACAACGAGGAAGAAGAAGATAAAGAGACGTGCAGTCTGATCAGGCGATGACAGCGTTCGTTTTTAACGCCGAAGAAGAGAATTCGCCGGTTATAAATTTGGTTTAGATGCTCCCTCACCTCTCTCACTCTGGCTCGAGATTTTTCAATATGGGCCTAATCCGATTACTTAATGGGCCGAGGACTGGGCTTAAAAAAATAAGGGCTGGGTTGTGTTGAATAGTATAAAAGAAAAAAAAGAGTGTGTCAAACAGGTTTAGTCGACTTCCCACTTTAAAGCAAACTTGTTTTTGTTTGTGTCTATATATCTCCTTCTCTTCCTCTTCATTGTGCTGCCGCCGCCGTTTCCTCCTGAACTTATTGAACTCTTCTCGTTTTCGTCGTCTCTTTTGGACTGCTATAACTTCTAAGGAGAAACTTTCGGCAGCCTAATCTAGGCAACGGCGAGCTCAATTTCTGGTTTGAAAAGTTGTTATTTTTCTTTTTTGAGTTGTGTCGATTTTCTTGAGATCGCTTTAAAAATCTGACTTTTTATGTATTTTTGCTTTAAGAGGTTAACCTAAATGACGAAATCTAGGGTTTTTTCTGTGTTTGTTGTTTGTGTTGATGATTTTAAGTAGGATAACTATAACTAGGGTTTAGGAGCTATTTCTTGAGTTATTGATTGTTTGTTGACTCGCTTCTGTTTCAACCTCCGTTGACAAGTTTCAGAGAATTTTGTGATACGTATTTACTGATTGTGGTTTTTTTATAAGGGTTTTGTCACAAACGAGTGAATATCTTTAGGCCTTGTGGATTTTTTGGATTTGTGACACTGTTCTCTTTGTTTTGATTGCTTGGTTCTATTGTGCATCTAGCTACTTTGTGACCCTTATTCTAATCAAGGACAGTTGTTTTGAAATATCCTGCGATTGTGAAAGTGATTAAGTTGGATCTCCTTCAAACTGGATCTAAAGTAAAAAAGTTTCTATCTTCATATATAAGTTTGTTTGTAATTTTTGTATCCAGTCAAAGCTTTTATATTTCTATGGAAATTTAGCTTTTATTGATATGGAAATTTAGCTTTGTATATACCTGCTTCTTAAAAACTGTACTTGTGTATACTGCTGACTAAGAAGTTTGCGGCATTACTTTGATTCTTTGTTACAGGAACAAACGTTGGGGATCAAAGGTGGATTTGAAGCTCTGACACATATTTCATCATGCAGAGTTGGGGAATTAACTCTGCTATTAAGCTACTTACGTATTCCAGTGAGCTCAAGGATGGACAAGCGCTCTATGCTTCTTCCAATTGTCATCCTGTTAAGGCCTTAAACCGTGAACCTGCTGGTCATGCCTTCCATTCTGCTGCTCTCAAACTGCGTGGTTGTGCAAAGGAAGCCACAAGCAAGAATGAAGATACCGATAAGAAAGTCCCAAAGGAGAAGGATAGTGAATATATTCCTTCCTATGACTCGCATAACATCAAAGGAAAGAAGAAGTCGGGGAAGCAACAACATGATCACTATGCGTTGTTGGGTTTGGGCAATTTAAGATATCTTGCAACAGAGGATCAGATCAGAAAAAGCTATCGCGAAGCTGCACTGAAGCATCACCCTGATAAACTTGCTACTCTACTTCTTGCTGAGGAGACGGAAGAAGCAAAACAAGCCAAGAAGGATGAGATTGAATCTCACTTCAAGTTGATTCAAGAAGCATATGAGGTTTTGATGGACCCAACAAAAAGAAGAATATTTGACTCTACTGATGAGTTTGATGACAAAGTCCCAACTGATTGTGCTCCGCAAGACTTCTTCAAAGTTTTTGGTCCAGCTTTTAAGAGAAACGCAAGGTGGTCGAATTCGCCTTTACCAGATTTGGGAGATGAAAAACGCACAGCTTGAATACTTAACATTTAGCCCTCAACTAGGGGGA